TCCCATATCCCTGTCCTCCAGATCCTCCTCCGCTTCACTAGTGGTGGACCTCTTGAGATGTGACTCTTTGGCCAAATTCATCAAATGGTTGAACATATCTTCGCCGGTCTTTCTGCACATGTCGTACAACTGTCCCTCCGTTCCAGTAAAGCGAAGGGTTCGTCAAACTCGACGATCTCTCCCGCGTCTAACACCTGATGGCAGGGAATGGGAGGGAAGGGATGTATTATCATATAAATAGATAATAGATTGTATACAATATATTGTACCAAAACGCGGTCGCAGTCTATAATAGTGTTGAGTCTGTGAGCGATCGTAAGGACCGTACAGTCAATGAATTTGTGGTGAATTGTGGTCTGAATGAAGGCATCCGTCCGGTGGTCCACATTAGCGGTCGCCTCGTCGAGCACTAGTAGGCGGTTGTGGCGGAGTATAGCTCGAGCCAAACAAACCAATTGGCGCTCACCTACACTCAGATTACCAGGCATCCGTCCGGTGGTCCACATTAGCGGTCGCCTCGTCGAGCACTAGTAGGCGGTTGTGGCGGAGTATAGCTCGAGCCAAACACACCAATTGGCGCTCACCTACACTCAGATTACCGCCCCCTTCGCTCAGTAGGCCGTCCAGCTGTCCGGGCAGGTCCTGAACGGCTTGTCGGAGCCGCACCTCCTCTAAGGCACTCCATATCGAGTGATCCGTGTATTCCCCGAAAGGGTCTAAATTTCTGCGCACCGGACCCGCGAAGACCACCGGATCCTGAGGTATGATTGAGATGTTGCGCCTCAAGTCATGCAAACCTATCGATTTGGTGTCCACGCCGTCCACCACCACCTCACCCGTGGGCTCCACCATCCGGAACAGGGCTGATATGATGGACGACTTGCCGGCACCGGTACGTCCGACTATACCTATCTTCTCGCCACTCTTCACACTACAGCACAGGTTCTTCAGCACCGGTTTGGTTGAGCCCTCGTATACCAGAAACATATTCCTCAGCTCTATC